TTGTTTTGTCTCTTAGATATGTGGTTTTTCTTGCCTTTTCCCATGCATCTTAATTTTTTGTTCAAAGCCAGATATCTTATATAGTACGGTAAATACCAAAGCAAATAATATTTATGCTTGGAAATGAGCATGCCTCTTCTTCTACTTGCATTTTTGTGTGATATGTTGTGTTAAATGTAGTTTGAAATTGGGCTAGGTTTAAGGGTTGATGTTGCTATGGTTACCCTGAGTGCACCACAGGCTTCAAATTTTTCTGGTGATACCTTGAATTTAGGGTAGGGCTGGTTTACCAAAGATTATTTTCTCAATTCCTATTTTCCCCTGACCTTGGGTCTTCCCTTTGTGTTGTGCCCCACTGAGAAGCTGTCACTTGCAGCTTTCTACTCTGTATCCCACTGCTATTCTTATTCAATAGTTGTTAACCTGGTGGGAGAAGTGAGAAGGAACATTCCCCTCATGCTCTGATTAAACCTCTATCTTAGTGAGGCGCTATAGCTCTTGTTCTCAGAATTCCCATCGCAGATGTTCCTCCCACTTCTCCAGCTGTAGTGAGCCTGGCATTTATTTCTGTCCCTCCCCCAAGGGTAAATTGTTTTTTTCCATGTTCTACTTCTCCAGTTATAGAAAGATATTGCCAATGAGTTATCACCAGTGCCTTAAGGTAGCAGTTTGTTGTTCCTTTCTCTGTACGTCAAGGGCTTTGTTCCACAGAGGGAGTAGGGGAGATGAATTTGTTAGAGTTACTATATAATGGCCACTGTTTCCCTCCCTCAGCCAGCATCATAAAGGAAACTTTCTTAAGAATCCTTTTAATCTTCACTGTCAGCACCACTGTATTTGCAGGCTCAGAGACTTTCCATTCTCATGCTACCCCGCACTTAATCTTTAGCACTCTATTTTTTAAATTTAGCTGAATCTTCTTATCTTCTTAATAGTTCATATGTCATCCCAAGGAATCTGCCCCAGGTAGGAAAATTCTCAGTTACTGTTTCTCCTTGTGGAGAAATCTGTCAGCGTCAATCTCCCTCCAAACTTTGAGTTGGTTCTGCCCTGCAAACTTGGTTTTCAATAGGCTCAATTAGAGTCATTAATTTGCAGTTGTCCAGATTTTGCTTTGTGGAAAGACGGGTAAGTGGTGCTCTTTCCAGCTCTCTACGTGCACAATTTAAAACCAGAAGCTTTGGGTTATATTTTTAAGATAAAAAGCATCATGTCTTCATGTCTCTGAGAGTGTTTGCTTTTCAGCTTCCAGTTATCATTGACTTGAGGAACCCGGCTTTGAAGCCAAGACATTGGGCAGCTATTGAACAAACAGTTGATGCCACTCTAGTGGATACTGAAATTCCATTAACCTTGGAGAGGCTCTCTGAGTTGCATGTTTTTGACTTCGGTCAAGAAATCCAGGACATATCTGGACAGGCTTCTGGAGAAGCTGCCTTAGAAACAATTCTTAAAAAGGTAAATCTGGAATGTATATTTATCTATATAATTAGGGAATGTGAAAGTTTTCAGGTTCACTTTTGGTAATCTGGATGGATTTTTCAATGTTGCAGCTTTCACTCTCTCATTATCAGCCATCCCTCTATTGTTTCCTTACAACAGATATTACTGTTATCACCTCTAAAGATCTCCTGCTTATCCTACAGCACATAGGAACTTGATGGCCACAAGGTTTGAAATGTGGATGCTTATATAAAATATTATATACCAAGAAAGATCTTTTAAACCCAAATACATTATCTTCCAAACTACCAGAGAAATCTGTTAAATGCTTTAAAAGACATCAAGATTTTCTTAGTTATGATACTATCTCCTTAACCTAAAGATATATACACACCTACTAATCCTCTGCATAAAAAGATTTTTTTCTCTCAAAGCATGTGTGTTAATATCAGTCAAATAAAATTAAGCAAGTCTGTGTCATTTATCCAAGAAGAAGATTTTATGAATTTTAAAGGGCAATAAGGAGGAAAATGAGATTATTATGGAGTTTTTACTTATTTCATCTCACATGCATTTATTGATTATCTAAACACAGTGAATTTAGATATCCTAAGACTTGAATTATTTCTAAGGTGGAGGACTCTTGGAAAGCAACTGAATTTGTCATTCTGCCTCACCGTGATGCCAAAGATGTGTTTATACTGGGCGGCACAGATGACATACAGGTGGGTAACCAGATTATTGAAAACTTAAGGTAAAGTTTCCAGCCACAGCTAGTTCTAATCTTCTGTGAGAGATTATGATGAGGGAATAAAATATGAGAGTCACTTAAGAAGAAAAAAATCTAATTGAAAAAGCAAGATGAATGCAAATAATTGACATGAATGCTTATACGTGAAATATTTAACAAAGCATTAAAAATGGAATATATATATATAAGAGTTGCAACCTGTAGTTGGTAACTGTTGAGGAATTTAGGAAAACAGAAAGATCAGTTACAGTCGAAATGATCAGAGCATTCTTCCTAGACCAGTCATAACAAGGTGGATCTTAAATATTAGATGGGATTTGATAGACATAGAAAAAAATAAAGACCACTTCAAACCCTGTAAACAAGACAAAGAAACCTGAATGAGCATTTCATGTGTATAGTGCCCTGAAAGGCTAAATTCACTTGAATGTGTTGAAATTAGGAAACGACAGCCATGCTCTGTCAACCATAAAAGAAAATAAATCTAACCCATGTGTTTGGAATAGTCTTTAAAATCTGAAGGAACATTTGTTTAGCAAAGAGAGCTCAGTCACGTAGCCCAACTTAAAAGGCAAAGCTCTGGCCTGATAGAGAGTACCCAGGCTAGAATTAGAGATAGAATGGCTTTGCCAGTTGTAGGTTGGAGGAGCAAGACCAGACATCACTCTGCACTATGGGTGGGAGAGGAGACTCAAAGAGGTGAGTAAGTTTAGGGCAATTGATGTCAGATGGTGCAGCTTCTACTCTCAAAAGCTTATTATTGAAATGGACCATTAAATCTTTCAGATTAACAGACACAGTTTTAAAAATTCACATGCTCTGTGAGAGATGCTGTTGTATAAAGGGGAGTAGTAGACGATGGAGGTGGAGGAGAAACTGTTATAACCATTCAGAGCTTGATATGAATGAGTTCATTTCTGCCTTAAGATAATTGAGAGAAAGTGATAATTCACTGGACAGACAACAGGCAATTTTGCCAGTATATGATATTTTGAGAAATGAAGGCAAGACCAGGTGATCAAATTATGTTAAGAAGGTACTAGTTACCTAATAGTGGGGAGAGACAGGAGAAGAGTGTTGAACCATACAAAAACTTGTGCCATGAATAATTACAGGAGCAACAGAAATTTGGCAATCAGAAGTCCTGGGTGACCTTTGAAATAACATCACAGTGCCACAAAGATGTGAATAATGAGGGGAAATTGATGAATAGGAAACAGTAGGAGGGGCTAAGCTATTAATTCAAAGAGTTTGCCTTTAAGTGGACTCTTCGGATTATGTATCTGAAATATTGCTGAGAGTACAAATACCTGGTGCTGCATATATTTTCTTCCCCTTCCTTTAAAGGTCCTTCTTGATGATAGCACCATCAATGTTGCAACCCTTGCCTCATCACGTTACGTTGGTCCACTGAAAACTCGAGTGGATGAATGGCAAAAACAACTTGCTTTATTTAATCAAACACTGGTGAGTAAGAATAATTTCAATTCATACACTCAGAGAATTAGAGAGTCACAAGGACCTTAGAAATAATTTTTTTTATTTAAATGTTATATGGTTTTATAATGTAAGCTTTAACTGTGGACATGTTATCGTGTTTAGAATGTAAGAGAAATGCACAGGTATTGAGCTCTTTTTTACATATGTATACAGCTTAATGCTATTACCATCACCCTTGCACAGGTATACTTCAGTGATATTGCAGATTTGGTTCCAGACCACCACAGTAATCCAAATGTTGCAATAAAGAAAGCCACATGAATTTTTTGTTTCCAAGAACATAAGAAGTTATGTTGAATTGGGAACACATGGACATAAAGACAGGAACAATAGACACTGGAGACTACTAAAGAGCAGAGAGAAAGAAGGGTGCAAAGGCAGAAAAACTATCCATTGGATACTATGCTCGCCATCTGAGTGAAAGGTCATCCCTACCTCAAACCTCAGCATAACACAGAATACTCATTTAACAAACCTGCACATGTAACCCTGAATCTAAAATATAAGTTGAAATTATTTTTTATACTGTACTGTGGTCCATTAAGTGTGCAATGCTATATTGCTAAAAATGCTAATGATTATCTGAGCCTTCGGCGACTCATCTTTTGGCTGGTAGAAGATCTTGCCTCAATGTTTATGGGTGGTTGCTGAAGGTGGCAGGGAGCTGTGGCAATTTCCTAAAATAAGACAACAATGAAGTTTGCCACATTTATTGACTGTTCCTTTTATTTAAAAAATTCTTTGTAGCGTGCAATATTTTATAGCATTTTACCCATGACAGACTTCTTTCAAAATTGGACTCAATGTTCTCAAGCCCTGCTGCTGTTTTACCAACTATGTTTATGTAATATCCTAAATCCTTTGTTGTCATTTCAACAATGTTTATAGCATTTTCACCAGGAGTAGATTCCATTGATAAAACCACTTTCTTTGCTCATCCATAAGAAGCAACTCCTCATCTGTTCAAGTTTTATCATAATATTGCAGCAATTCAGTCACATCTTCAGGCTCCACTTCTAATTCTAGTTCTTCTATTTCCACCACGTCTGCTGTTATTTCCTCCACTGATGTCTCAAATCCCTCAAAGTCATCTATACGGTAGAATCAGCTTCTTCCAAACTCCTATTAATGTTAATATTTTGACCTCCTCCCATGAATGACAAATATTTTCAATGGCATCTAGAATGAATAGTCCTTTCCAGAGGGTTTTTAAATCCACTTTTCCTAGATCCATCAGACGAATTACTATCTATGGAAATTATAACCTTACAAAATGTATTTCTTAAATAATAAGACTTTGAAATTGAAAGTACTTCTTAATCCATGGGCTGCAGAATGGATGTTGTGTTAGCAGGCATGAAAACAACGTTAATCTCCTTGTGCATCTCCATAAGAGCTCTTGGGTAACCAGGTCCATTGTCAATGAACAGTAATATTTTGAAAGAAGTCTTTTCTTCTCAGCAGTAGGCCTAACAATAGGCTTAAATCTTTAATAAATGATGCTTTAAACAGATATGCTGTCACATGGGCTTTCTTATTTCATTTTTAGAGCATAGACAGAGTAGATTTAGCATAATTCTTAAAGGCCCTGAGATTTTTTGAACGGTAAATGAGCACTGGTTTTAACTCAAAGTCATCACTTGCATTTTTCCCTAACATGAGTCAGCCTGTCCTCTGAATCTTTGAAGCCAGGCATTGGCTTATCTTCATTAGCTATGAAAGTCTAGATGCCATATTCTTCTAATAGAAGGTTATTTTGTCTGCATTGAAAATCTGATGTTGAGAGTAACCACCTTCATCAATGATCTTAGCTAAATCTTCTGGATAACTTGCTGCAACTTTATCAGCACTTTCTGCTTCACCTTACACTTTTATGTTGCAGTGATAGCTTCTTTCAGTCTCACGAATCAACCTCTGCCTCCTTCAGACTTTTCTTCCACAGATTTCTCACCTCTCATGGAAAAGAGTTAGGGTCTTGCCTTGGACTAGGCTTCGGCCTAAGGGAATGTTGTGGTTGGTTTTATCTTCTATTCAGACCACTCAAAGTTTCTCCAAATCGGAAATAGGTTTTTGGCTTTTTATCATTTGTGTGTTCACTGAAGTTGCATTCACAGCTGTCTTAACTGTTTGGTCCACGAGGCTAAGCTTTTGACATATCTTGGATTTTTGACATGCCCTCTTAACTAAGTTTAATTGTTTCTAACTTTTGATTTAAATTGAGAGACATGTGACTCTTCCTTTCACTTGAACACTTAAGGCCTTGTAGTGTTATGAATTGGTGTAATTTCATTATTGTTGTGTCTCAGGGAATGGGAGGAGGACACTGAAGAGAAGAAATGAGATGGGGGAACAGGGGAACAGCCAGTCAGTGGAGCAATCAGAACATATATAATACTTATCAATTAAGTATGGGCATGGTTCATGGCACCCCAAAACAATTATAATCTTAACATCAAAGATGACTGATCACAGATCACCATAACAGATATAAAAAATAATAATGCTTAATACTAGTATTTTTAAAGTTCTAAATATTGCAAGAATTACCAAAATGTGACCCAGAGACAAAGTGAGAACATGTTGGACAAAAATGGCATGAATTAACTTTCTTGATGTAGCATTGCCGCCAAACTTCAATTTGTCAAAAATGCAATATCTGCAAAGTACAATAAAGTGAAGCACAGTAAAACAAAGCATGCCCATATTCTTATTTTGCTGTGAAACAAATACTACAAACTTAAACAATATATATTTATTATCTCACAGTTTCTGTGGCTCAGGAGTTCTGGGATGGTTTACCTGAGGCCTCTTCCTCAGGGTCTCACAAGGTTGCAATCACAATGTCAGCCAGACTGGGTTCTCATCAGAAGTTTAACTAGGGAATGGTCCACTTCCAACCTCACTCCAGTTGTTGGAAGAAATTATTTTCTTGCAATTCTTGGACTAAGGGCTTCAATTTCTTGCTGGCTCTCAGCTGGAGGCCATCCTCAGCTCCTAGGTATTGCCCACAGGTTTTTGTTTTGTTTTGTTTTGTTTTGTTTTTCATGTGTGGGCTTCCCCAACATGAATTGTTGGCTACATCAATCTAGCAAGGAAGAAAAAGGATCCTAGCAAGATGACTAGTACAGCCTTACATAATATGAACATAATTATGTACATTCTGTTACCTTTGCCACATCCCATATGCCTGGGAGCAAGTCACAGATGGCACCCACACTCAAGGGGAGAGGATTACACAGGCATGTAAACACCACATCTTAGGGGCCAGCTTATGAGTCTTGCTACAACTTTATATTTACTGGAAGAATGCTCTTTGTTACTTGAAGCCTCCTTGGAATCTTTCCTTGTGGTACACATGTCCTTTTAATTTTATTCCACCTTGAATTGTCCCATAGCAAAGCAAAGAACCCACTTACACCAAGCTCACTTTGTTCCCATCCAATCTCTTTCTTAGACTTCAGATACTTAGCTTGACTTAATTATGTTTAGGTTTCCAGATTCTCTAATCTGAAAAGTTATCTATGAAATAATAAACGCAGTAAGAGGAAAAAATAACTTGTGCCAACTTTGTTTCAAAGAGAACTTTCTCAGAAATTCATCTTCTTCAACCAACCACATTGTCTGGGCCCTGTCCAGCCTTCTGGACTGATGGCCGAGGCTTGTGAAGGGAGGAACTACAGATCAAAGTCAAGGGGGACATTTTCATAGAGGGTCCTTGAAAGAAGCCTGAGCTGAATAATGAGGACCCTCCAGAGAATGATTTGCTTGGAAAGTGTGAGACATGAGATAAACCAGGAAGTAGTTGTGTCATTTGAGCTTATTCCCAAACCTAGAGAGTGAGAATTGACGAACTCTTTCATGGATTTTTGGTGCACACATGTAATAACAGCAGGAGACACAGAGGAAAGGTGAGGTCTACAGACGTTTAATTTCTGACCCTGTATTTCTGATTTCTTTTATTGACAGTGATTGTCTAAAAGCCAAGAGAATGCATGATTTTCTTCTTCCAGTCTCCACATTTGCTGTCATGAGCAGGGTTTTTTTTTTAATTTTCTTTTTTAAAGAAAGGTAAAGGAAGAATATACACATGATAGAGATGAGAGAAAAAACAAAATTTTTTCACAAACATCTTGTATATATTTGAAAATGGTCACTAAACTTCCCTTTTCCCTCTAGATTTCCTTACATAAGCATCGTGCTGCCCCCTGAATCTCTCCTATGGGTATTTTAATCATGTTTCTCTGGATCCATTCTGGTAACTACAAGGAAAACCTGTTAGAACTCTGGTAACTACATGGAAAACCTGTAGACAGTGGGATGAAATCAGACTAAGGTGAATCTTGGACCTTATAAGGAATTTAATTTCAAAAGACCTGTGAGGAGTCATAACACCACCCTCAAGGAAAAAGATATATTGATTCCTTCTGTCATGATTTTTACTATAACCATATATTTTTAATAGGGGAATTAAAATTTGACAATGTCCATATTCTTCTCCTAGGAAGAGTGGCTGACCTGCCAGAGAAACTGGCTCTACCTAGAAAGTATTTTCAATGCTCCAGATATTCAGAGGCAATTGCCTGCAGAGGCCAAGATGTTCCTTCAGGTGGATAAGTCATGGAAAGAAATCATGAGGAAGGTGAATCGACTGCCTAATGCTCTTCGAGCTGCTACTCAGCCAGGTATAAACAAAATTCCAAACAAGCAAAAAGACTACAATCACCTAAAATGTTTCTCTTTTCTGGGAACCTAATAACATGTGGTCCATTCAGCCCTTGATTCTAGTCAGTATGGGTGACAAAGAATACTTGCATTTGACACACTTGCTAAACAATGTCAATGGGACACTTGACTTTTTTTATTATTATTACCTCTCAGCTTAGTTTGTAGTTTTGGAAAAGGAGAATCTGCCTATTTTTGCTGTTTTTATGGTTTGGAGACATTGCTCTAGGGTATCAGTGATGTTTTCATCTCAGAATTTTGACAAGAAGACAAACATTCGCATTCAGTTGATACTCTGTTAAAGCTCCTCCACAAATTTGTAGCCACGAAAATTTCCATGCCTTATTTTTAATGAATTCATTAAAACTAGTTAAAAAATATTACCACTTATTGCATTTCTAGTCTCAAGGTTGAAATGTGTTTTAATAAGTTCTGTTTCTGTGGATGTGGAATCAAAGTCTTTCAGGGCACACATATGTTGCTCTTGAACTTTATGCTTTAAGTAAAAGTCTTGCTGTTTCCTGAACAACAAGCTTGCCTCTTGTTGAGGAAATAGCAACACATGGTGCAGCCTGGTAAATGTCCTCAGACAGCTTCCCTGCAGCGGTTACTGGGCTGTACTCTTTGCCCAAAAACTCTGACATAAGACAGAAATGGAAAAGAACACTATATGGAATAATAGAATTGAAAACTCTTTGGGTCTTTTAGAGGCGGCCCACATTCCTTGGCTCATGGCCCTCTTCCAGCCCGTAATCTCGGCACATTAACCTCTGCTTCTGTCATCACATCTCCTTATCAGCCTCCAACCTTCCTGCCTCCTGCTTATAATGGCCTATGTATGATCAGTCCACCAGGCAATCCAGGACAGTCTCTTCATCATATGATCCTGATCTAACTTAATCATATCTGCAGAGTTCTTTTCTGTGTGTCCTAACATATTGACAGATTTGGGGGATTGGGATATGAACATCTCTAAAGGGCCATTATTCTGTCTACTGCACTCACTTGTCATGTTGAAACATTTTTCTGTGAGAACTATGTTTGATTACAGAGTGCTGTCCCAGTCCCTACTAGACTTGATATAAAATATAACTTCTGAAATTTAAGAAAAATTGATTCAAAAATACATCTGCTTCCAAGGATGTCAGATAAGAACGGAGACTTATATGACTTATATAGATCATTTAGGTGATGATAAAGCTATGAAAAAAAATAATAAAGTAGAGTAAACGGGCCAAAGGGGGAGGGAGGGAGAGAGACAGACAGACAGACAGAAGGCTTTTTTTTTTATAAAGCTTTTGAGCAGAAACCTGCAGAAATAAGGGAGCGAGTCATGTGTATTATCAAAGGAACATTGTTAAAGGAGGAGGGAAAATCAAAGCAAGGCTCCCAAGGCAAGTGCATGCTTCACATGTACAACTGTGTGCAAGAAAGCCAATGCGAGCTGAAGTGGAATGCAGAAGAAGGGCTTAGGTGGTGAAGCAAGAGAGGCAAGAGTACTTAGGTTGGGGACTGGGCATCAGACTACTCATTGATTACATAGACCCTTGGAAACCATGATAAAGACTGTGGATTTGATTCTTGGGCAGGTGAGGACATCAGCTACTATGATAGGCACCAAAACTACAAAGATAAATAAGACATGGATCTTGCTCCTTAAGGAGCTGTAGTTTAGTGATGAAGAAATAGTATCCCATCCCCACAATTTTAGCATTTAAAGACGGCAGAGGATACAGAAAAGATGCCAGTAAGAAAGTGACAGACAATGAGTAGGTATAGACTCTGGCTTCGTTTGGAGAGTCAAGGAGAAGGCAACTGCTTGGCTTTGGATTTGTACTCCTAGCCCCCCAAAAGTGGGGTACACTGGCTAAAAATGTTTCATATTAAATATACTTGTTCACACTTTGTAAATACTTAAATTATTATTAAAGGTAATAGTTAAAATTCTTAGTGTCCCCCATTTTAATGTATTAGAGCATTCCTTTATCAAGTAATACCAAAGCTTTTAAAATATTAACATTATATTTTAACTTTACTTAAAATTATCTTTCTTGATTTTTTAGTTAATACCTTTTGTTGAAAAGACCATACCACTGCTGTTGCATTTCTTTTATTTATTTATTTGTATTTCAATAGGTTTTGTGGTAACAGGTCATATATGGTTACATGAATAAGTTCTTTAGTGGTGATTTCTGAGATTTTGGTGCACCCACCACCCAAGCAGTGTACGCAGTACCCAGTGTGCAGTCTTTTATCTTGTCATCCCTCACCTCCCTCCCACCCTTACCCCTCATCCCCTAAGTCCATTGTATCATTCTTACACCTTTGTGTCTTCATAGCTTAGCTCCCATTTATGATTTAGAACATATAATGCTTGGTTTTCCATTCCTGATTTACTTCCCTTAGAATAATGGTCTCCAAATCCATCCAGGTTGCTGCAAATGCATTATTTCATTCCTTTTTATGGCTGAGTAGTATGCCATGGCATATATATACACATTTTCTTTACCCATTCATTGACTGATAAACATTGGGGCTAGTTCTGTATTTTTTGCAATTGCAAATTGTGCTGTTATAAACATGCATGTGCAATAATATTTTTTATATAATGACTTCTTTTCTTCTGTGTAGTTACCCAGTAATGGGATTACTGGATCAAATTGTGGATCTACTTTTTAGTTCTTTAAGGAGTCGCCACACTGTTTTCCATAGTGGTTGTCCTAGTTTACATTCCCACCAGGAGTGTAAAAGTGTTCCCTTTTCATCATCTCCACACAAACACCTATCTTTTTTTTTTTTTTTTTTTTTTTTTTTTTTTTTTTAGCCATTCTTGCAGGAGTAGGGTGGTATCGCATTGTGGTTTTGATTTGCATTTCCCTGATAATTAGTGGTGTTGAGCATTTTTTCATATGTTTCTAGGTCATTTGTATATCTTCTTTGAGCATTGTCTATTCATGTCCTTAGCTCACTTTTTGATGGGATTGCTTTTTTTCTTGCTGACTTGTTTAGAGTTCCTTGTAGATTCTAGATATTAGTCCATTGCCAGATGTACAGATTGTGAAGATTTTCTCTCACTCTGTGAGTTCTCTGTTTCCTCTGCTTATTGTTTCTTTTGCTGTGCAGAAGTTTTTAGTTTACGTTTTATCTATTTATCTTTGTTTTTGTTGCATTTGCTTTGGGATTTTGGTCATGAAGTTTTTGCATAAGTCAATGTCAAGAAGGGTTTTTTCCAATATTATCTTCCAGAATTATGGTTTCAGGTCTTAGATATAAGTGTTTGATCCATCTTGATTTGATTTTTGTATAAGGTGAGAATTGAAGATCCAGTTTCATTTTTCTACATGTGGCTTGCCAGTTATCCCTGGACCATTTGTTGAATAAACTGTCCTTTCCTTACTTGATGTTTTTGCATGCTTTGTTGAAGATCAGTTGGCTGTAAGTATTTTACTTCATATTCAAGTTATCTATTCTGTTCCATTGGTCTATGTGCCAATGTTTATACCCGTACCATGCTGTTTTGGTGACTGCGGCATTATAGTATAGTTTAAAGTCAGATAATGTGATGCTTCCAGATTTGTTCTTCTTGCTTAGTCTTGCTTTGGATATGTGAGCTCTTTTTTGGTCCCATATGAATTTTAGAATTGTTTTTTTCTAACTCTGTGAAGAATGATGGTGGTATATGGATGATAATTGCATTAAGTTTATAGGTTGCTTATGGCAGTAATGGTCATTTTCACAATATTGATTCTACCCATTCATGAGCATAGGATGTGTTTCCATTTGTTTGTGTTGTATGATTTCTTTCAGCAGTATTTTCTAGTTTTCTTTGTAGAGGTCTTTCACCTCCTTGGTTAGGTGTATTTCTAAGTTGTTTATTTATTTATTTTTTTATGCAGCTATTGTAAAAGGGGTTGAGTTCTTGATTTGATTTTCAGCTTGGTCACTGTTGGTGTATAGCAGAGCTACTGACTTATGTACATTAATTTTGTATCCTGAAACTGCTGAATTCATTGATCAGTTCTAGGAGCTTTTTGAATGAGTCTTTAGGGTTATTTAATTTTTACGTATTTGTATGGTTTTGAGAATTCCTTTTGATTTCCAGTTTTATTCACCTGTGATCTGAGAAAGTACCTAATATAATTTTGATTTTCTTAAATTTATTGAGACTTGTTTTGTGGCCTATCATATGGTCTATCTTGGGGAATATTCTATGTGCTGATGAATAGAATGTATATTCTGCATTTGTTGGGTAGAAAGATCTGTAAATATCTGTTGAGTCCATTTGTTCTAGGGTGTAGTTTAAGTTGTTTCTTTGTTGACTTTTGATCTTGATGACTTGTCTAGTGCTGTCAGTGGAGTATTGAAGTCCTCCACTATTATTGTGTTGCTGTTTATCTCATTTCTTAAGTCTAGTAGTAATTGTTTTATAAATTCATAAATTCGGGAGCTCCAGTTTTAGGTGCATATATATTTATAACCGTGATATTTTCTTGTTGGAAAAGTCCTTTTATCACATAATATCCTTCTTTGTCTTTTTTAAATGGCTTTGCTTTAAAGTTTGTTTTGTCTTTTTTAAGAATAACTACTCCTGCTCACTTTTGGTGTCCATTTGCTTGGAATATCTTTTTCCACTCCTTTACCTTAAGTTTATGTGAGCCCTGATAGGTTAGGTGAGTCTCTTGAAGACAGCAGATACTGTCTGGACATCCAGATTGGTAAAGAGGACGTCAAACTGTCAGCATTTGCTAATGATGTAATTGTAATTTTTTTACTGCCATTTCAATTTCATGACTCATTTTAACTTTAGATTTGGACAATTCAGAGCATATTTTTATTAAAGAGTTTTATTAAAGAGTTTTCTAGAAAGAAGATTCATAAATTGATTACATTTTAAAGTGACAATTTTTTCTGAAAAAAAAATTTGATTTTAACACAGTTTTACCAATAGTATTTTTTTTAATGAACAGGACTTCTGGAAACTTTTCAAAACAATAATGCATTACTTGACCAAATTCAGAAGTGCCTAGAGGCATACTTAGAATCAAAAAGAGTTATCTTTCCAAGGTAAGTTTATAAAGCAACCTAAGATACTTTTTAGTAGTTATGATTGTCGATCAAGTTGAGATTATAGTTATAACCACAAAGCATCAAGGAACTAGAGAGACAAAAAGATCTATGATAATGAAAATCCAGCTAGTTATCTTAACTGGGGAGTATAAATCTCAAGGACAAAGACACAATATTCAATAAATATTTAAGTCGGTAAGTATCTAAGTTGTTGAAATAATTTTATTTATTTTAATTTTTGTGGGTATATCGGTGTGTATATTTATGGGGTACATAACATGTTTTGACATAGGCATATAATGCATAATAATCGCATCATGTAAAATGGGGTATTCGTCTCCATAAGCATTTATTCCTTGTGTTACAAACAATCCAGTTATGCTCTCTTAGTGATTTTAAATGTACAATTAAATGATTATTGACTATTAAATGACTATTATTGATGACCAAATTATTATTGACTATAGTCACCCTGTTGTACTATCAAATACTAAGCCTTATTCGCTCTTCCTATTTTTTGTACCCATTAAATATCCCCACCTCCCCAACCCCAATCCTTCCACTACCCTTCCTAGCCTCTGGTAACCATCCTTCTACTCTCTATCTCCATGAGTTCAATTGTTTCGATTTTTAGATCTCACAAATTGAAATGATTCTTCATCACCCCATTGTTTTATCATTTTACTGTTGAATGAATATGTATGCCTGTGCATGTGTGTATGTGTGCTCAGATGTGTGCATAAACGGTTAGAGACTGGTGTTGCCTGAGCAATTTTCTTTAGGTTAATTGGTGGAAATCCATGTTAAGCTTTCCAAGATGCCTAGTCTTGAGGAGAGTGAACCCCACCCTTTTTCATGGGCATAGCAAGCACCCTTAGCACATCTCTCTACCAAAAAATGTTCCTATCTCTAGCTGTCCAGCCTCTTCAGCTTTTACACTTTCATAACCTCAGGCAAGTGAGGACTCCAGAGTCTTTACCCATCTCCTTATGAGTCAGCCCCAGGTGACCTGACATCTCACTTTGAAATGTGACAACTCTAGTCCTAGAACTTCAGCCAAAACTGAAACTTTAACATCTGTTTATATTTCTTGGGAAAGGTTTGGTCAAAAACACAGAAGCCACTCTAGCCGTTTAGAGCAAAAGTTTCATTCAGGGAATTAGAAGTTTTTGCTGGTGCTAGAGTCAGAAGAAGGGAAGAACTGAGGACCACTATGAGGAAATCCAGAAATACAGGCAGAGGTCTCAGGGAAGTGCCGCCAAAGTCTCCGCTTCCTGCAATGAGAAAGGGAGGAATTGTCAGGAGGATACCTGAAAACCAAAGATAAAATCCCACCCACTTCAGTCATCCATGCTCAAGTTGGGGAGTAATGCCTTTGCTTCCTTCCACCTTCTCAGTCACATAGAAAAGCATCTCACAGGCAGCATCTAAATTAAAACCTTACTGGAAAGAGATTCTAGAAATGTCATTCCAGCTTTTCCCTGATGCAGGGATATTGCTAAGTTGACAGTCAACAGTCTAGAGCATTTACTAAATGCTGGTTTATACATTTAGTCCTCCAAAACATAAGCAAGTTAGGGATGGGAAGAGCAATAAAAAGGATCCTTGATTGAAAAAAAAATTGGAAATCACTGTATTAAACATTAATAGTTAATTGCTCTAACCTGTTTTAATATGAACTAGGATAGTCAGTTGGAATAATAAATCAAATTGCTTTTGAGTGATTTGGAGAGATTAAACATAATACAAAAACTATATTACACGAAGACTGGCATTTAGAATATTCTGGGTTATCTAGAGCAGACACAAACAATTTTTCTTTCATAAAAGGTCACATAGTAGATACTCAAGGCTTTGTAGGCTTGACAGTCTCTGTAGCCAGGTCCACTATTGTAGCACAAAAGGAGCCACAGACAGTATGTCTGCATGGCTGTGTGACAATGAAGCTTTATTTACAAAAACTAGTGGTGGGCCACATTTGTCCTGTGGGCTGTTATTTGCCAACCCCAATCTATGGCAAAATAATCTTCTGTAAGTTTATAATTTCCTTTACCTATCTTTTTGGTAATAATATTGAAATATACATAAATGTTTTGTTTCTACATAGCTTCACATGGTTGGAAATGGTGTGCTCGCAAAATTATATTATGCCCCATTTCACAGTAGCATGTGCTGCAGGGAATAGCGAATACCTTTGGATTGAGAGAATGGCCCAGTACACATTCACAGAACCCAATAAGGTTCTCCTGCAACTACCCATCCATCTATTAACTCTTCAACAAATCATGGACTGAATACCAGTTATGTGTGACATACTAGGCCAGATTTTAGGGAAAACAAATAATACGTTTTTACTCTGGAGGCTTAAAGTTAGGTAAAACAGATATGTGAACACAACAGTTTCTAGCATTTTTACAGTTTTTATGTACATATTTTTTATGTACTAGGCACTAATTCTAGGTATGCATCATCACACCTAGGTGCATCATCACTAATTTTCACAGAAATCGTGTTTAGAGATATGTGGCCTCCCCAGAAACCCATGACCCAAATAATTGGAGGTCCAGGAAATTGGTAGACAGGGAAGAGATGTGGCTAAGGAATTTATCTTTTATGTCTATCTAAGACTTTACTTCAATTTCAACTTACATTTTAAGGATGTTCTTTAATGCAGATTTTACTTCTTGTCAAATGATGAACTTCTGGAGATTTTGGCCCAGACACGAAATCCACAGGCTGTGCAACCACACTTAAGGAAGTGCTTCGACTCCATTTCAAAGCTCGAATTTGCTCTCATGCCTCCTGCCGAAGGAAAGATTCCTGGTATTGATGGAGAACCAGAAAAGGTTTATACTAATGATATTTTAGCAATGCTGTCACCAGAGGGAGAAAGGGTGAGGTGCTTTTGTTTATATTTCTTTATGATGAACTTTGTTACTCTTCTAGGGTTATTCTCGCTCTAAGGATACAAATACACTGCTGGCTCAGCAGTTTCAAGAATAACCAAAATAAAATTCTTGCCCTCAAAGAGCTCAAAGTCTAGCAGAGAGATAGTCAAAAAAAAACAACTGAAAATCACCACAGAAAATATAGTACCAAAGACATGTGTTCTGTTGTTGGAAATAGAGTGGAGAAAACTAGAACCATGTCTTATTCAACTCTCCACAAAAGGCACACCAGTGGACTGGTTAAGAGCACTGGTTCTACTATCAGGCCACTTGGACTAAGTCCTACCCTTTAATCTCATCCGAAAGATGGGGATTAGTAATTGTATCTGATTAATGGAATGAAGAGCCTGTTCAGGGATAGTATACATAAATTGCTTAAAGCAGTACCCAGTAAGCACTATGGAAATGTTAGTTGCCAGAGGCAGCATTGCCCAGCTCCTGGTATATGAGGAACACTAAGAGAGTAAATATGTTAGGACACTGTGAGGAACCAAGTGGCTTCACAGAGGAGAGCCACACATATGTACACATACACAAAGTCAAGTAAGATGGAAGGGGGAGTATCTTCTACATGGACATGGGTGACATTTCAGTCACAGGAACTGTGCAGGGAAATGCCAAGGAATTGGGTCCAGTAAGAACATAGTGTGTATCTATGGGAACATATAAACATTTCATGTGTTCTGAATTGATCCTCTTGCAAAAGAATTTGCTCATCGCTGGTGCACAAGAGAAAGGGGAAGACTAAGGATAGAATCTTGGGAAAACATGAAATTTAAAGACAGGTTAAAAGAAGAGCAGTTGAAAGAAACCAAAACAGTCATGACAGGCCATTGGAAGTCCAAAAAAATAGATACCAGAACTGAAAAGTGTCATTTGAACTTTCGAGTTGGGAGGACCTGTGTAACCTTAATAAAGACAGGTTTACAGAAGTGATCAGGGACAAAAATCAGATGGTAGCAAGTAAGAAAGTCAAAATAAGTGAAGAAATCCATGCAGTGCATATATACTCCTCTTTCAGGGAGTTGACTCCAAGTGGAAGCAGTAAAATGAAGCAATAGGTGGGGTGAAAGGAGATAGCTGTATAGTGGAATATCAATAGAAGTTTCAGTATTTGCAGTCAGGCTTCAGCATTTACATAGCTCAGGATTCTGTCATGGAAATACAGAAGGTATACAGTGTACAAGTCCCACAAAAGCCACTTCATCAATGCTCTGATTACCTTTTAGGTTAGCTTGGGGAAAGGCCTCAAGGCCCGAGGCAATGTAGAAGAATGGCTTGGTAAAGTGGAAGAAGCCATGTTCACATCTCTGCGGCGCCTGTGCAAAGCTGCCATCGCTGACTATCAGGGGAAGCTGAGGACAGACTGGGTGATTGCTGGCCACCCGTCTCAAGTAACTCACACTCACATTTCATATTTCTGAATTATTTTTTGGTGATATTCATCACATATTTAAGAAGGATGTTTTCTTGCAGGTTATCCTGACTGTTTCTCAAATTATGTGGTGCCGTGATTTGACCGAATGCCTGGAAACAGAAGACAATGATCATATAGTGGCCCTGGAGGATTTTGAAAAAGTAAATTTTGAGGTGAGATCTCTGACACAGTCACGTTGTTGACTTGCAAGTTGGTTTTAGTGTGAGTTTTTAAAGCATGGTTAATGCAAATTCACTTTATTTCAGAAATTCTCATGCGGTGACATGACTTACAAAGTTTTGGAATTCTCACTAGAATTATTTGTGTTCCACTTTTTTTAGAGACAACTACTTTAAGGTTTGTGTAGTATTTATATGAATACTTGTGAAAATAGGAGGAAAAACAATTCCAGAATAAAACATCAGGGTTATAAAATGGTTTGCAACTTTTAAGGACAAACTGTGTTCACTAGTTCCTGGATACCTCTCAGGGAAGTTTATTTAGTCCAGGAAAACCTCCAGATTCATGCCATTTTTATTTCTAGGCTTTAATTCTATTTCTGCTATTTTGTAGAACTGTCAGGCAACTAACAAACAATAAATGATTCAAAGAATTTAAATACCATCAAGAGCTTTTAGCTATAGCTAGGAAATGCTATTTTACTAAATAGCATTTAAATAGCACTAAAACTTTATACTTGTTGAACAGCAACTCCACATTTCCCCCCTCCCTAGCTCCCTGTAATCACCATACTATTTTTCTATAAATTTAGCTATTTTATACCTCACGTAAATAGATCATGCAGGACTTACCTTTCTATGACTGACTCATTTCATTTAGCTTAATATCCTCCAGGTTCAATCATGGTGTTACAGGTGATAGGATTTCCTCCTTTTTTAAGATGGAATAATAAATATTTCATTGTATGTGTATACCACATTTTCTTTCTTTTTTTTTTTTTTAAGAGACAGGGTCTCCCTCTGTCTCCCAGGCTGGAGTGCATGGATAAAATCATAGCACCCAGCTAATTATTATTTTTTTTTTTTTGTAGAGACATGGTGTCACTGTATTGCTCAGGCTGGTCTCAAGAGCTTCCCTCAAGTGATTTTCTTGCCTTGGCCTCCCAAAGTGCTAGAATTATAGGCATAAGCCACCATGCCCAGCTCAAATTCTCTTTATTCATTCATCCATGGATGGACACTTAGGTTTTTTCCACATCTTGGCTATTGTGAATAATGCTGCAATGAACGTGGGAGTGTAGATAATCTCCTCTGGATCCTGACTTCATTTCTTTTGGATATGTACCAGAGTGGGATTACTGGGTCATATGGTAGTTCTATTTTTAATTTTTTGAGGAGCCAGCATATTGTTTTCCGTAATGGCTACACCATGTTTACATTCCTACCAGCAGCATACCAGGGTTCTCTTTTCTCCACGCCCTTGCCAGCATGGGTTATCTTTTGATTTTTTGATAATAGTCACCCTACCAGTTGTGAGACAACATCTCATTACGGTTTGTATTTGCCTGTCCCTTATGATTAGTGACATTGAGCCTTTTTTTATATACCTAGTTAGCCCTTTGTATGCCTTTTTCTGAGAAATGTCTATGCTAGTCCCCTGCTCATTTTTTAATCAGGTTATTTGGTTTTTGCTATTGAGTTGTAGGAGCAATTAGACCCTTATCTTACACCATACACAAAAATCAACTCAAAATGGTTTAAGGATTTAAATGTAAGACCTGAAACTGTAAAACTCCTAGAAGAAGACATAGGTGAAAATCTTTGATATTGGCGTTGGCATTGATTTCTTGGATATGATACCAAAAGCATAAGCAACAAAAGCAAAAAACAAATCCATGGGATTATATCAAACTTAAAAGCTTTTGTACAGCAAAGGGAAACAATCAACAGAGTGAAAAGGCAACCTAGAGAATTAAGGAAAATATTTACAAACGGTATGTCTGGTAAGGACCTAGGCCAACTTTACTCCAAATTCAATTCTACTTTCAACAATACTGCATTAAAGATTCACCCTTAAAACAGAAAAATGAAACAGCTTTATTGAACAAAACAACTTTATTGAAATAAAACAACTCTCTATATATTTATATGTAAACATTCAATAAATATTTATTTACTGAATAAAACACCTTTATTGAAATAAGAGAAAACACTCTCATGAAATTCCTTAAATAAATTTCATCTCCATAGCTTCAGAAAGAGAAATGACTCCCTAAAGAAAGTTCCATTGCCTCTATGTAGAGGTGGTCCCACATTAGGGTTGGCCTAAATGACATTTCTGCACAATGGTGCAAGGTCCTCAGAGGCACTGCTTTTCTTTGAAAAAGATTTAATTATTTAGTAAAAATTTAGCTCACTCTTTCCAAAAATGTTTTCATTTAATCAGTTATTGGCTAGGTTAAAATGCTCAGATTTTCTGATTATTAATGGAAAAACCACCCCTAAAATTGAAGAGTATCACCTTTAACTACATTTAATTTTTAGGGGGAACACGCTCCTCTAGAGAATCATCACATAGTGGTTAAGAGCATGGGCTTTCCTCAAG